GAATGGTCTACTACTGACCAACCCAGATACGCCAGTGGCTGTTCATTCATTCATTCTTTTCTCCTACTCTTTTACACTCTTTTGAAAAGACGATACACATTCTTTTATCCAGTCATTCATTCATCAGTCAAAATGCACAAATCTGCCCTCATCGGTCTCCTGGCTTCGAGCCCAGTCTCAGCCCAGCTTCACAGCCTAGCGCAGGCCGCTGGTCTCAAGTACTTTGGCAGCGCCGTCGACAACGGCTACCTCAGCGATTCCGCCTACGCCAAGCTCGCCAACAACGTTGAAGAATTTGGTCAGCTCGTCCCCGAGAACGGACAAAAGTGGGAGACTGTCGAGCCCACCCGTGACCAGTTCACTTACAAGACTGCCGATGTTGTTCCTGATCTTGCCAAGAAGAACAGTCAGATCTTGCGATGCCACGCTTTGACTTGGCACAGCCAGCTGCCCACCTGGGGTGAGTTTTGTTCAGGTGTACTTGTTTAAGAGATGATTTTCTAACAGTTGTAGTCTCTGCTGGCAAGTTCTCTGCTTCTGAACTGACCGAGATCATCGAGGCGCACATTGCCAATGTTGTTGAGCACTACAAGGGTGACTGCTACGCCTGGGATGTCGTCAACGAGGCTATCGACGACAGCGGCGAGTGGCGCGACAGTGTCTTTTATCAGACCCTCGGAACCGACTACCTTGCTATTTCCTTCAACGCCGCCAAGAAGGCCGACCCCAAGGCCAAGCTGTAAGTCTCCAGCAATCCTTCCCTTGGCGTCTCTAACAAACCCAGGTACTACAACGACTACAACCTCGAGCAGAACGGCAAAAAGACCGACCGCGCCGTTGAAATCGTCGAGATCCTCCAAAAGGCTGGCGCGCCCATTGACGGTGTTGGTTTCCAGGGCCATCTCATCGTCGGCGAAACCCCCTCCCGCTCAGAGCTTACCACTGTCCTCGAGCGCTTCACTTCCCTCGACGTCGAGGTCGCTTTCACCGAGCTCGACATCCGTCACTCAGCCGTCCCAGCTTCTGCTGCTGAGTTGAAGAAGCAGGGAGACGAGTACGTCAACGTCGTCGGCGCCTGTCTTGACGTCAAGGGCTGTGTTGGAGTTACCGTCTGGGGTATCACCGACAAGTACAGTTGGATCCCCGGTGTCTTTGAGGGTACCGGCGAAGCTCTCCTCTACACCGATGAGTACGAGAAGAAGCCCGCCTGGACCAGTGTATCCAGCCTTCTCGCCGCTGCCGCCACTGGTGCTCCCGTCACCAGCACTGTCGCTCCCGTCGTGACCACTGCTGCGCCTACTACCATGCTGACCAGGACCAAGCCTGTTTACACCGACTGCGACGACATCCCCGAGACTGACGAGCCCGTGTACCCCTCCACCTCCATGGCCAACAACTCTGTTCCTACCACAGACATGGGTACCCGCACTGCCCTTGGCCCTGTTTACACCAACGTTGATGATAATGATGACGATTGCGCGAGCGAAGAGGCTCCTTTCCCTACCTATGTGATCCCCACCAACGGCACAGAGACACTCCCCACAAAGGCCCCCGTCTACGATGGTGATGACGACTGTGAGGAAGATGGCTCTTCCCCTGTCCCCGCTGAAAGCGATGACTGCGAAGACGGCGACTTTGAGCCCACAGCCGTCGCCATCTCCACCGCCGCCGCCGCCGCTTCAGCTCCCACCCGTGCTCCCGTCGTCCGAACCACCTCTGCCTACACCTACAAGTGGAACACTGAAACACGCCCATCTTACCAAGTCCCCAGCGGTACCGCCCCAGCTGGACCCATTGGAACTGGTAACGCTGGTCTTGTCAAGCACTACTACCAGTGCGGCGGCAAGAACTACAACGGTCCTACAGAGTGCGAGAAGCCTTACAAGTGTGTTGAGCACAACCCTTACTACCACCAGTGCGTTGAGGCTTAAGGGGTAAAGGCTAGGGATTTGATTGAGGTGGGGGTTTAACTTTAACATGTATATATTTCGTCAGTGTATAATTGAGACTTGCTTGATGCAAGCGATTTTGGATAGTTGTTCAATAGAGATGATATGAACATCAAGTTACCAACAATTGGACTCAGTGTGATACACCAATCCCCGAGATATCTGTTTGTCGCCTCTATTAATATTTTTTTCGTTGTGTTTTGTGAGTGTTTTCGACAGTAGATTGCCTCTAAAGCAAACTTAAGGAATCTTCTGTAGCTAGCTGGGCTACATAAGGCTGAACTGTATCCAGCATGATACCTATCAAGGTTGAAGAATTAAATATTCTTTTCCATATATATTTCTTATATATTCTTGCTATGCTGGGAGGCGGGTCTGCTTTGGTCTTCCAATGTGCAGCGGTGATAAACGCTCCTTTCCTCCTTCCTCTTCAACCTCACTCCACAAAGTCTTGCCTAAGCACAAGAACCATCTTGACTTTCTGTTGAATTACATATCAGACCACTCTTTGTCATTTTCAAATTCACGGAAGCGCCTTTCCCCCTGTCTACCTTCAATCTTTGCGGCTATCAACATGCCCAACGTCTCCGTACTCTTCACCAAACGAGACATCCGAGCCATCACCAACGGCGACATACACTGGCTCGTCGCCGTCAAGCTTACGCGATTGTCGCCCCGAGCTTTTTTGTACTTTTCCACATTCTTATGGTTTGACGACTTTGTGGCTAGCCTCCCAGGGCCATACAGTCGCACGTCACAGCATCTATACGAGCGTGTGATGGCCTTTGGGAGGCACAAGATGCAGGAGATCCACATAAGGACCAAGGTAAGTTTAGGATGACCTTTTATGATCATGGTACTAATACTCTCCTAAGAGGGAACGAGAGGAGCTCATGCAGAAATCCAACGCTGCGGCAGCCGTTACGCCTTCTGGGCATGTTTTTTGTGACGATAATCTGATCGTCTTGTGAAAAACACCTGTTAAAAGTAAGTCATTTGATATTGAATACATGAAATTGGACTAATGTATGTGGTAGGCCCCTTGCACGACGTCGGATAGAGAGATGTGTTCGAGGTCTCGATGGAGCTGCGGAAATGAGTAACAGCTTATTTCCATTTACTACAACGTACTATAGTAGAAGAAGCACATTCAATATCCAGGTTTCATTGACAATTATTCCTTGTCCAGGATTTAGTTGCCTTAGTGAATGTCGTGAGGAAACGTCGCTTTGCAGCTCGTTCCTTCCTGACACTGCCCATCAGGTGACTGGTCATTACTTCATCCTTCTCTATCTTCTCCGTCTTCTCCATCTCCCAACACTCTCTCACCTCCTTCAAATATTTCTTTGCACTATATACCACCATCGGCATTCCCATCAATGTAAATTCTCACAGCAGACTCTCCTGCTTCTTCTTCTTCTTGAGCCATGATTCCCTTTGTCAGCACCTATCCCATCCCCGACACACCCGAAATGTACACTCTCACAGTCAACGAGATTCGCGAGCTGTCCAATGGCCACACTTACTTTTCCACCCTCGTCAAGCTACAGAATCTCTCCCGCAGTGAGCTAGGGAGATATCTCGAGAACCAGGATTTCCAGTACTGGTTACATCACGATGTCGGCGTCAAGACCGGGGACTGCAGGAGAGATATTATATTCATGATTCAGGCTTGGGTCAAGGAAGGCTGGCTACGGATATTGAACATGGTACATTCTATCGCCCGCGCCGTTTTAAGATATGGATAACTAAATGTGTCTAGACAACCCCGGCCGAGTGTCAGGCAGTTGAGAACGAAGACGCTGGAGGGTTCAAATTCTACGGTGATAATTTGATCGCCCTATGATTAACCTTTTGACGCGCACCCGATCGCAGAGACTCGGTAGAGGTGATGGGACGGGCGGGTCCATTGACAATATTTTGGTTCCGTTTCGGGATAGTCTAATGAAGTCATGACAGTTGTATGCCCCTCGAGCAAACGGAACTTGTTGATTCTCGGATATTCCACGTATTGAGTGGTAGACCAGGCTGTCGTTCTTTCACTAATGCTGCTGGCCGACTGAGGAGTTCTAAGTGTTGTCGTGTCTGGACGAGATCAAAAGTTCACAGGCGAGAGTTGTGGCAGCATTTTGGGTGAAAGCTCGCAATAGCAACCGCTTATTATGGTACCTACGCTTGATAGAAGGCTTTCTACCCACCTCCATCACAGCAAGAGGACTGGACAAGCCCGCCAACTCCCAACTTCGTCCTGGGGGGACCACCAGCAAGGCTGGAGTCGAGCGACAACTCAGGCCACAAGAAGACCAATAATAGCTGATTGTTTTGCCACTTATCACCATGCAAACCAGACTGCCGACACATGTCAAGGATGAAGGGAGGCAAGAAGAACAAGAAAAAGGATGAGACTACCCTGGACAAGGCGACGAAATAGATGAATATTTAATTAGTACTACTACTGAATCAAGAACAAACAAATATCTCGAACAAATCCTTGAACTCCCATAGTGACATATGTTTAAATCAATGGATGATAAACTACAAAGTTGAATGGAAGAAAAAAGCCAACCAAAGATTGGGTATGCAATCATTCATATCGTAGTGTGGTCAAAGGCGTGTTCTGAGCATGCTGGCGAAATATCGAAACACAGCTTTCAAGAAAATCCTTGGAGACTGGAACGGCGCTGGAAAAACGTTCCGAGTCATGCTCAACCACATATTCCGTCACATGAGTCATATTTTCTGATTACTCAGCACAATCGTAGGGACGGACCGTCGGGACCCACATACCTTATCTGAGATGCACGTGACTCCGGATCTCAATATCAGAACAATAGAGTGTAAATACAAGAAAACAATTGCAATACGTTCAATTCTTCCAAAGAAGAGATGTTTCTTGGTCAATTGGGTAAAGAAGAGGTCTAGTTTCAAGTGGGGCACATCGAGATGGGTGTGTGGAGCCCGGTGGTGGGGAAACTTGCGAAACCTTGCACAACCCATCACACTACACCACATATACACAAACTACATCACAGATCTTCAACGAATCATCTAGGCAACGTGACGGAGTGGTTAACGTGATCGCCTCGAAAATCTAAACCGTAAGCGATTTCCTTCGGGAGCGCAGGTTCGAATCCTGCCGTTGTCGATTCACTTTTTTTGTGTGTGTGTCTCTGGTGAGAAATGTTGGTGTTGGGGGCTGGGGACGTATCTTTTTGTACTGAGGGGCTTTCCGCAGTTGGTTTGGAGGGGCTAGACACCCGTGGAACAAGCTAGGTTTGTCTGGAGGCGCTTGTTGTCGTGAAGTGGTGATAGCTTCGTTTTTCGATCATGGCACTTTTCGGCTCGGTTTTTGCTGCTTTTGCACATTTTTTCACACGCACGCTCTTGTTTGGACTTCTCTTTTAACATATATGCCGTTTGGGAAGCCATCGGAAGCGTGGACTGATATCGTGGTTACCGTCCAGTTGAATGCGAGGATCTCAAAACACCACCCCCACGGCGGGCAACGTTGTTGGTCCCGATCTAGGATATGATGATAAACAATCTAATAGGGTGGTCTAAGTATCATAAAGGTTTCATCCATTATTCTTCGAGTTGTCCTTTGTGATACATGGAGGCCACTCAACAACATCCGCCCAATGACGCAACATTCCATGTATTTTGTCACACTTACTTCGAAGCCAATCACTGAATCATGATGAACATCTGCAGGTTCATAGTGTCAGGACGGGGGGCGAGGGGGCAGCGGTAAACGACCTTGGTTACGGCATGCCCTCTCAAGGGCTGCCCGTACGACGGACGCCGACGCCGATGAGGAGTCGGATAAGGTAAAAGGGTGGCTAAGTAGTGATGCCCATGTTTCGATAGCCTTTGCCCAGGCCGCAGCTGCAGCAGCGCCCTTCTTCCCCTCCGACGGCTTTGCTCGGAGGACCCAGTGCTCCGGACAGTATATCTAGATCCCCGACCCGACCGCCGGCCCCGCTTCTGCCGTCCCCCGGCAAGTTGGTACCAAGTGGGCGGGATAAACTTATCTCGATTGCGGCGTTTGGCGGACAGGTAGCTTACTTTTGGCATGTAATAGAACAAGTGGGATTCGATACTGTGATATAAAGAAGCAACAAATCAGTAGCTGATTCCGCTATAGAGGCGATCGCTGCGGGAATAAGTACGAAGATCCAGCGGGTTGAGCTGAGCGGGCTGTAGCGGGGTCACACCTGTCTTTTTTATCGCAGCTCATCGATTTCATACACATCGAAGTCAGTCGGTAGGTTGAGTTCAAATTTCAGCTGCATCTCAGCTGTTCACCTGGTATCTGTCTCAGACACGCTATAATTTAGGTACCTCTTTATTCTGTCTTAGACCTTCTCTTAGGCCATCTACCATCATCATCCACTAAGCTTATGTGCTACCCTTAGTCCAGGAACATTTGCCACGCTTATCTCTTCCCCGAAATCGCCATGTCCCACGTGCCTCTTGGCTACAGCAACTAGCACACCCACGTTCCCAAAAGATCTACACGTGCATCACCCGCGCATCGCCGTTGGATCTACCACCACTACGCAGATCTGCAGGGTTGATGATCCCGTTTGTCTGGGCGTCGATTCAAGTCTCCATTCGTCACCGAGATAAAATGAACCTCACGCGAGTGACATATTGTCTTGGCTCCTTTTAAGTTTAAAAGACAGCCTGTAAGCCAATTGAACTTTGTTCTGTAGACGGTTCTGATCTTTGACAATGGTTGCCACATCGTTTCTCGTTCAGCTGGCTTTGTTGCCTTGCTTGACTATTGGTTCTTCTCTTGCATCTAGGTCGAAGTCATTTGACTATGACTCTCTTACATTAAGAGAAGTCGGTGCTCGCAACACCCTTGTAAGTGAATCGTCGTTTCTCAGTTAAGCACTCATTGACATTCCCAGGACTGGCGGGTGTGGCTCGAGAAAGACGGCCAACCGATTTCTTTCTGGCACGATGTTCCTTTGTATCCAGAAAAGGGAAATAACCGCATCGTGAGCTACGTTGTTGAGATCCCTCGATGGACTGACGGCAAGATTGAGACCCGTCGCGACGAGCCTCTGAGTATGACTTCGCCCTCACCTGATGTTCAGCAACAGTCTAACAATATTTAGATCCCATCTTCCACGATGACAAGAAGAACAAGGTTCGTTTTGTGGAAAGTGTATGGCCTCACAAGTCCTATCCCTTCCACTACGGATCTATCCCCCAGACGTGGGAGAGCCCCAACTTTGACCACGATTTTACGGGGTATCCTGGTGACAACGATCCGATTGATCTGTTCGACATTAGTGAGGTGTAAGTGACTTCCTTCAATTGAAGTGACATGGCTGATCCGTATCCCAGTCCGGCCCATGTTGGCCAAGTCAAGTCTGTCAAGGTTTTAGGTGGACTCGCTCTCAACGATGTGAGTTGACAATACACCATGTTGTATATATATACTGACTCCCAAGGGTGGCGAAACTGACTGGAAAGTCATCGGAATTGATACCAAGGATCCCCTCGCCCAACTTGTTGAATGTAAGTAACCCACCCCTAGTCAGTTTTAAACTAACATTCCCAGCTGTCGAGGATCTCGAAAAGTACCGCCCCGGTCTCGCAAAGACCTTTTACAACTGGTTCACTGTACGTCCACCACCACGTTCATCAATTTCGCTAACACTCTCAGTACTACAAGGTCCCTCGTGGCGATGATGTCCTCGAGATTGTAGGAGGAGACTACCAGAATGCCAAGTTCATGGCCAAGACCATCAAGAGCAGCCACGGCGATTGGCAAGATCTCGTGCGCGGAAAGGTTGACTCCAACGAGATCAACTACAACCAGACCAGCTCCAAGACTTACAAGAGCTACGTTAAGAGTAAGGATGCCACTAAAAAGTTCGGTCTTCCTGTTGAATCCAAGATTCTTCCTGCTGCGGAGAGGCCGGCTAAGTATGATCTGTGGTATTACTTGGACAAGGACTACAAGTTGATTGAGCTTGGTGAGAAATAAATGTTGTGGTATTTTTGACGGATTGAGCGACATGCTTCAAGAGGCTGTCTCCTGTAAAGATCTAAATTATACTACGTTACTCATTGTACCATAAGCAATGCACAACTGACCTGCCTTCTGAAGCCATAAGAGACGAAACTATTAGGTCGGCATATGTTGCTTAGACTAGAACTTTAGGTTATTTATTTATGTAATGTAAAGCTTGAACAGTCTTTTTTAGATGTGTGAGAAGTTAAAATTTGTTTTGAAGCCAACCAGTGAAATATGTAGAAACTTCTGCATGTAATCCGCATCTCGAACTATATCCCACTCATACTGCATTCTGTGTCCTAGAGTTATACTTTTTTAGCCTTGATATACTCTGGACTCTCAACTCCAAGGTTGCTGCGAATAAAAAGTAAAATAAAGAATAAACCCGTTGTCCTAGATATTTAAGCATGCTTATCCCTTGTCTCTCTCTTCCCTTCTTTACCATCAACCACACACCAAACACTTCTTCTAAAAACATTCAGAAAATTGATCTTGGATATCCCAATACACACATCCAACAGGAATCATTTCTCATCAATCCACCAACATGTATATCCCGGGGAGGTCTCTCACATCAAATGAACTTCGGGACATAATAAACGGCATTTACAATGAGGAAGCCTTGATCAAGTTGTCCTGCTTCAACTTTTTGGATTGTCTAGTCTGGCACCAAAATGAAGATTTTATGGACTTGACAAGATGTTTGGTTGGTACAAGTCACGGAAGCCTTGGTGCTTGCAAGGACATACAGAGATGGGCGAGCAACATCATGAGGAAACATTAAGAGGACCCGAATATGGTAATGGTATGTATCCCATCACCATGGCCTGATGCAGAATGCGTTGCTGACTATAACTACAAGCGATGGTGTATACCATAAGCCCAGAACGCCCGGCTATCTGACGAGTTATTTACGTGCTGTCCCTGGGAAGACTGTTCCCCCTACTTCGAAGAGGACAATCTCATCTCGTTCGATGAGACCTGGTAGAATGGGGTTATTCTTCTTCTGTATTCTTGAGAACTACTACGATCTACGAGTCATCGTCACGGAGTTGCGGAGTCTTGGTATCAGTTGCAAGTTGTATTGCGTCTTAATCATTTCAAGCTATATGTGCGAAAGATCAGTGCAAGTGTACCAGTGGTAGGAGCAAGGGATTTTACCTGCTGGATACTTCTTCACATCTTCTTTTGTTAGACATGTACCCTAGAATTTTGCCCTTTAGCTTTACAGAATTTTACTGCTGGTGTCTCTACTTGAGCTTTTGGGGCACCGAGTTCAAGCTTACATCCATCTTTAAGGTCGCCAGTGACTCACCAGATATAAGTACGCTTTGGGCAGTCTATCACGTACAATAGCATCAAGTCAGTAAATGAGTTGATATAGTGTTGAGAGACGATTGTCGAAAAGCATATGGACAGATATACTGGGTACAGGATTCGGATTCGGGATAGTGTTGAGGTAGAGTAATACATACGAAGTTCTTTGGGACCTGTAAAGCAAGGAGTTAGTTAAAGAATCTTAAGTCAGTGAGTGGATAAAACGTACAGAAGCCATGGCCAGGGAAAGAAAAGATAAATATCTTTTTGCCCGCCTATGATGGCTACGATGTGCTCAAATCATTCTTGAAGGCTCGATTAAGAAGTTCTTCGTCCCGTCGCCTAGGCATCGGTTTCTGACGTTGGTTAAAGTTTTGCTCCTGCCCGATGCATCCAGGTCCGTCGTTCTCATTCGCGGCGATGAAGAAATAGAGTTTTGAGGGTATAATCCGAGCAAAGGTTGATAGCAAAAGGATACTCGCGGTAGCAGATCATATAAAGAGGAAGAGAAAAATACAGCAGGCATTCCAGGAGGGAGAGAAAAAAAGATGGGATGAAAGAAACGGCCATGCGTGGCCGACGTTGGGTAACCGGACAGGTGGCAGGTAGTAACGAACAGTTGTAACTTCCCAGGTAGACTACAGTATTGTTCAGTGCCAATGTTTTTTCCATGAAGACTTTATTTATTAACGTTTTCCCTTCACTATGAGGCAATGAATCTTATTCCATCTATTCCAAGTATAAACTCTTGTCCAAAAGGGGGCGGAGTAGATCAGAGTCAAAATAAAAAGGAT